CCTCCTATAGGGAATCATGCAACTTAAGAAGTGGAAAGGACCCTCAAGACCATCTACTCCAACCTCTTTATTTTCTCTGAAGTTCTCTTCAGTGCTAGTTGAGGCCTTTACCTCACTATAGGACAAGCATTTTATACCCTGAATTTAGTTTGAAGATACTGGTTCAAATTTGGCTCTGCCATGTATTTGTTTCATGAGTGACCTTAGGCAAGAAAAATTATTAAATTTTACCTGAAAGCATGAGAGTGAGTTTTTTGTGCTTAATATATTTTTCTGTTTCCTTTCTTCCTTTAACTATTATATTTTTCATTGCTGTTAAGTCTTCTGTAAAACTACTTTTCAAACCTATGAAATTGCTTTATATTCCTTCCTCTGACCATACCCTACTCTCCATATATTTGTCCACATTTCTCTTTCTGCTTAGCAAGTCTGAAACAACTAGTTGACAGTAAGTAAAAGTTGTAATTGATTTGTTTTTAGCTCTAATATAGGCAAAGGAGTTCCCATTTCTTGGCACTTGAAGAGCTGCCCTTTTTTGTGGTAGATTTTTATGGTTTTCTGGTTACTGTCTTTCACATCAATTGCTTAGTCTATTTAAATAACCTTTTTTAAAAAAGTTGAAAATGAAAAGGGGAGAATCTTGTCTCTAATCATTTATCTTAACTAAGTTTCTAAAACTTAACACTAACATATGATTAGCTTTCCGTTAATATTGGGACACTTGTTAGCAAAGTACAAGTGTGTTACAAGGGTGCAGTTTATATTGATTGGAAGAGTGCTCTCTTAGACATTCTCTGTGGTTTCTCCATATGTGGTCATTTCAGGCTCTTTTGCCCATGAGACCTGCATGTTCTTCTTTTACAAGTAAGGAAATAGTGGCTTTATCTTAGGATCTCATGGCTTCAAAGTGACAGAATGTGGGCTTAAACTCCAAGCAAGTGAATGTGTCATAACTTAGTTTTGTAATATGTTCTCTTAATGTAAGTATAAATTCATAATATAAAACCCACTGGGAAAACCCACTTGAGCAAGAAAATAGTTGTGATATCTGTTACCCAGCATTTTGCTGCTATTATGGAAGATTTCCATTCTCTTTCACTTTTGAACCATAGAAGAAGGTATTTTTTGCAGAAAATACCCAGCTGCCACTGCTAGGTGGTGTTTTCCTAAAGCAACTCAGGAACAGTGAAAATAAAAGTGAATCACGTTTCACAGCACAGGGAAATGGGGATGCTGCTGCTTTTCTCAGTATGCAGTACTGCAGCTAGTTTTAGGTAGATGGTAGGAGCTTTGGATATCTTTCTGTGTGGTAGAATCACACAGCATTACTTTCCTGGTGTCTGCTTTTCCAGTAGCTTCTGGCCACATTGGCAGGACTATGTGGAAGATATGACGAGTTTCAACTTCCCTTAAAAGAATTCTCATTTGCACTAGCTTTGCCAATGAGTTAGTGTGATGTGTCCTGGTGAATGGGGCAATCAAGAATACCTAGCAACAGAGTTTAAAAATACTTTGTGTACATGAAGTTTTTGGTGGCATTGTGCAAAGGTGGGAGAGGGTTTCTTGCATGGAAAAAAAAATCTTGATAGTAGGGTAAAATCACATACAAATAGCTTTGAGCTAGTTACTTGGAACTGGTAAGAAGCAGTTTCATGCTGCAACTCTCTTAGCAAACAATCTTTATACTGTTAAGCTTGAGAAAAGATAATTAAGTTTGGTAAAAATTTTCTGCTATTTGTTGTTAATATATTTGCTACTTAGGCTTTATAGGAACTATGTCCTCACAGTTGTGGGAAGAAATTCTATAGCTGCATTTTTTTGGGAGTGAGCCAGTACATACTCAGGCTATAAATCCTCAGTTATTTCTAAATAAGGGAAAACTTAGTCTATTTTTTGTCTTAAATGTATTGTATGTATATACCATAATTTGTTTATCCATCCATCCATTGATGGACATTTGGTCTTTTTGTACTACTTGGCTGTTGTGAACAGTGCTGCTGTAAATGTGTGTGTACACATGCTTGAGTGTGTTTTCAGTTCTTTCAGGGTCTGCATCTAGGAGTGGAAGTGGAGAGTCATCTGGTAGTTCAGTGTTTAACTTGTTGAAGAACCACCACACCTTCCCAACTCCACAGAACCATTTTATGTTACCACCAGCAATGCATACAGGTTCCAGTTTCTCCTCATCTATTTTCTGTAATTTCTAGGTATTTTGAATGGTATTATAAGTGGTAGAGTTTTTTTTTAACTTCATTTTTTGTGTGTTGCTGGTGAAATACACCTTGTATCTAGTGACTTTAAGTTAACTTTGTAATTCTTATAGTTTGTTTATGTATTTACTGGATTTTCTGTGTACACTTGAATTTGTGATTTCCAGATGCTTTATTCTTTATTCCTTCTTCATAGTAGTTTGTATTTTATGGATTCAATATTCTTGTGAGTGACATTGAGGAAATTTACTAGAATTTAAATTCTCTTTAAACTTTTCATTATCTTAGTTTCCTTTGTGGTTGGTTCTATTGCTTTTCATTTTGGTCCTTCTTAATTTTGTAGGTATTTCTTAAATATCTGGTGGTCCTTGGCTGCATATTCATATTTATTAAGGAGTAGAATGTTTCATTTTGATAGCTAATATTGACTGCTTTTCAGTTTTTTTGAGGTCTGTTATTCCAAGAGAGCTTTTCTCCAAATGGGATTACTGATTGAAAGTTCTTTGCTAGTTTAAGGGCCAGCAGCAGCCAGATAGGCTGAGAACCTAGAATTTATTCTGGGGCTTGAGTGCTATGAAGACTTTTTTCGGGGGGAGTGGGGTTGTTTGATCCTGTTTTGTTGTTGTTGTTTGGGGGGTTTTTGGTTTTTGGTTTTTTGGTTGTGCTGATCCCTTACCTCTCACACCTCCGTTTGTGGATGTTTGGAGCAACCTCAGGCTCAGCTCAACGTCTCTTTTGTTGCTAGCACCCATGCTGGATGCTCTTCTCAGCAGATCTAGATATAAAGCCTGGGAGCCAAAGTTTATACAGGAAGACCATCATAAGTAGCTCTGCTGTTCTGTGAGCAATCCTTTAATTACCTTGATTTCCCTATGATTTAATTCAGCTTCTTGATGCTGAGCTTGTTGGTTTCTGTTTAGGGAGTTTCAACAGCTCTTGCCTCCTCATAGTCCTCTCCTATGTTTTACTTGGGCTGCTATTTCTTCTGTATGGCTTCTCTATCAATTTCCTCTTATCTGTTTCTTCTAGAAATTCTTTACTTCTTTTATCTCTTTTTGCTTGTTAATTGGTCCGTTTCTTATTTTCAGATTGTTCTGAATTTGTTCTTTTTATAATTATGAGATATTTGGACAAAAAATACATGGCAACTACTCCCCAAGTTAAAACATAATTGAAGCTCCTTACTCTTCTCTGATGGTATTGCACTTCCTGTCATTCATCTGTTAATGTTATCATGTGTTTATTTTTCTGAACAATAAAGAGCATTGTTCTGAAGGTGTTTGAGCTTTGAATAATGACATACTACATGAATCCTTCTTCTGCATCTGTTTTTTTTTCCATTTGTCATGGTGGTTTGGTTTGTTCTTTCTCTTAGTATATCTTTTCTGCAGTGTCAGTAAATTTGAACAGGGGGATAAGTTAGCCTATGTATTACTATGACTTTTTAAAAAGGGAGGTTTGATTAGTACACATGGTGTGGGGGGTCATGGGGAGAACAGTGTAGCACAGAGAAGGCACATAGTGGATCTGTGACATCTTGCTGCACTGATGGACAGTGACTGCATTAGGGTATGGGTAGGGACTTGATAATATGGGTAAATGTAGTAACCACATTGTTTTTTCATGTGAAACCTTCATAAGAGTGTATATCAATCATACCTTAATAAAAAAAAATTTTTTTTAAGTTAGGAATACAAATACAAATAGAAAAAGAAATGTTGTATGATTATCTTTCCCTGAGCACCTGACAAAGGAGATGTAGTTTCAGCCAGCCAGTCCACATCTGTCAAGATAGGTTTGCAATACTCAGTAAGTTAATTAGTGGCTAATTAATTACTTCAACGCATGCTTACCATAGGTGCCAAAATACAGGTGTGGAATTTTCTCACACATTTAGATTAGATGATCGTCATCCTTCAGGATATGTTCACTTCATTGAAATTAGCACTGGGAGTTTAGAATGCGTTTAAAAAAATGACAGTCTTAAGAGAATATTTTCACTGATTTTTCTAAACTTGACATGTATATGTTTATATGTATATAAAATTTGAGATTTCAGTGAGGAAAGAAGAAAAGGAACAAACTGTTAAGATGTAGCGTAACTGAACCTTAATGCCATGAAAGAGTTCATACTTGCACATAGTTTATGATGGAAACATCATAAAATTGTGAGGTTTCATGAAGAAAAAAATGAATCACCATTGAGGTTACCAGAAAAAAATAAATAAATAAATAAAAGCGAGGTTTGAGCACTTTCTGAATACATTGTCACTACAGACATGTAGAAGAGAGAGGACTTGGTATTACCTCTTTTTGTTTCAACTGGTGATGATAGGTGAATATGACACCACCCTGTGTTATATAAGCTAGGTCATTGAGTGCTGCTGACCTCCATCTGGTGTTATAAATCCTTTTGGAGACAGAGAAACACCATTCATTCGTGTTTAGGGTTTAACTGAGGTATAAATGAAGATTTGGGTTCTTGTTGCTGGGAGGAATTTTTAGGGGCCATTTAGTATAAGCTGTACTAAAGAAACCCAGGCCTGGAGAAGGTGAGTGACTTGTCTAAGGTGATCTGGGGAAGAGCACAGGGATTAGAAGCCCTTGTTGCAGTTTGTTGTTATTTCCACCTTATTATAATGAACAAGAGACTAAAATTCCTTTTTGTTAACATTCGACTTTGATTTTTGCCTGTCCTTTAAAATACTTAATTGAATATCAAGAGATTCTCAGTACATAAGAATGAACATGTATCTTTGAACTGATGCTGATTTGCTATGTTTTCCTTAGGATCAGAATGGTTTCAATCCCAGAATACTATGAAGGCAAGAATGTCCTCCTCACTGGAGTTACCGGTTTCCTAGGGAAGGTACTTTTGGAAAAGTTGCTGAGGTCTTGTCCTAAGGTGAATTCAGTATATGTTTTGGTGAGGCAGAAAGCTGGACAGACTCCCCAAGAGCGAGTAGAAGAAGTCATTAGTGGCAAGGTAAGTGTGGAGATGATCATTTGAAAGAGAGAAAAAAAGTGTGTGTGTGTCTAATTGTTCACATCCTCAACAGCTAATCATCAACAGCCTAGTATAGTCTTCAGTATCCTGAAAAAACTTATTCAAAATCCCGTACAGGATGGCAATAAGTTGGATGCTTTCCTCTGTGATGGACAAAATTGTATAATAAATTCTAAATTACCTGTATGGCAGGTCTTTAATGTGCTTGTAGAATATTTGAAGCAAATTATTTATAATTACTAGATATTTTAAGTAGTCTTCAGAATAATAATTAAGTAGTTTCTAACTATCTGCTCTGCTGTGATAACACTTAAAAATTTGTAAGCACCAATTGCTCCCACAACAGGAATCAGAAGTAGGAAAAGTTTGCATATTCCCACTGACAAATAAGAATGTGATGGCAGAGAAGTCATAAAATATAATAATGTCATATATTTTGAACCTTTAGAAAAATATTGCTAAGGAAAAATGCAAATGAGCTGGAGGAACATTATTTTACAGTCAGAAATTTCTGAACTCTCAAATGAAATAACATCCATTGACAGTAAGTTTAGTGTAGTAGCTGTGTAATTTTTTAGTAATCAGGTAGGTGTCTGGTCCCTTTTAACCTTCTAGAATAGCTATGACCTATGTTTAAAAAGCAAAACAAAACCAGAAACCTCTGAGTGGCTCTGAGCAGTGAAGAACTGCTGAAATGTATCAAAAGATAAAATAATTGATTATAGAGTAACAACTCTCCAGAGTTAACAAGTAAATAATCTGTTAGACATGATTTGTGTTCCAGTCTATTTTGGTCTTTGAGTAGAAATCCATAAAGTAGTTAATAGTGACTAACATTTATTAAATATATACCTTGTGCCAGGCACTGTGTGAAGCACCTTATATGTATTTAATGATCAAAACAATTTTTTAAGGTAAATACTGGTGTTATTCCCATTTTACAAGATCATATTGTTAGTGAGTGTTACAGCCGATGTCTGTGAACTTTGGCAGTCGAACCAAGAGCTCATGCTTTGGTAGGGGCAGATGTTGGTATATCTCATTTTACAAATATGGGCATTGGGTCTCAGAGGTTGTAATTTTATCTGAGGCTATGTAGCTGATAGATGTTGGAGATAACACAGATGACTTGATAACAAATCCCTATTATCTTTCTACTTTATAACATTTCTTCCCCAATAGATAGGAAAGCAAGGAAAGATGATGGAAAGTTTTGTGTTACAATGAGAAAAGTAGACTTTATAGCATTGGGGAGCTTACTAGTTGTCAGAATTGTAGTTGGTACACACTGAGTAAAAGTAGCTTAATTTCCCAAAACTAATGGCAGTTGGTGCCCAAGTTGGCAAAAATTAAAAGAGAAGATGACAGAACAGAAGAGAGTGAAGAGCAGAGAGTAAGAGAAGCAACACACAGCAGGAAGAAGAGTCAGATTAGGGCAATAATGGGAAGCATATCTCATAGGAGAGACAAGACATAACAGAAGAACAATTGTGAGAAAAGAGAGAAAAGATACACAGTAAGACCTGTATAGAAGTTTGGGGGTGTTTAAATATAACTTGTCTTTACATCACAGTATTGTAATAAAATACATAAACTGTTATTAACTGTGATAACTTATGGTGAATTAAGAAAAGGTTAGCTATATTTAGAATGTTTTCTTCACTGAGGTACTGTGTTGTTTGAGAATGATTGTCATTCACATATAATTTTGGTTCAAAAAGATAAACTTTACTTATATGTATAGCATCGATGTTTTTCTTGTTTGTAGTTTGATTCCCCCCATAAAGAGGTATTCTTAGACCTACCGAGTTTTAACAATGAGGTGTAAATTAATATTTTTCCTTTTAGAAATAAATTATTTCATACTATTAATAGTTAAAGAATAAAGTTTTACCTTTGTCTCCTTATTTAATTGTCTTCACATCAAAACTTTAATCCTAACTTCAACTAAAACACTGCTTTCCTTGAAATTGCTTTTTTAAAAAAAGTCTCCTTTGAGAGCTACTCAGGGACTGTATAACTAACATAGCTAGTTATACTTTAACAGTGTTCCCCCCATTACCTCTAACTCTCATGGACTTGTCTTCTTCCTTCCTTCCCTTCGAAGATATCCTTAGTCCTGCTCTGTATATATACTAGGGGCTGTTCAGGTTACTAGAGATACAGCAGTGAGCAAAACAAAGTCCTAGCATGTAGGGAATTTACATCCTAGTTTGGAAGATGGTAAGTACATACCATGTTGCATAGTGATGTGTGTGCTGTGATGAAAAGTAAAGTAGATCAAGCGGATTGAGGGTGATGGAGGTAATAGTGTAGATACAAGGGGCAGAAAAGTTCTTTCTGAGATGACACTTGGGCAGAGAACTGAATGAAGGGAGGTATGTGGGGGAATAGTGTTCAAGGACAAGGAAACAGCAAGGACGAAGGCTCTGGAATGCTAACTGCTCGACAGGTTTAAGAAGGTAAGGGCAGCTGTGGTTTTGTTTTACTGGGACCTGTATAAGGCATGTAAAGTAAATACTAAGTGTTGGGGTCTTCCCTACCAACCCTCCTGCTCTCTCCCAGTGAGTTTCTGTCTCTTAAAATACAATTAAAATTGTTAGTTTATCAGTCTTTTAAATTTTTGCTGGTTTGACTCGAAGAAGAGAGCTTCAGACAAATATACTTACACTTGAGAAAAGTGTAGCTAGTACTAACTTTAAATTGTTAAAGAATTATCCCATGAAATTTCTAGGTACTTATTTTTAAAAGTAAGATGTGAGTTAATATTTGCAACATGAAAGGTAGCTACATAATAGCTACTCTTGAAGAGTTTGCCATCTTGAAGTATGATAGGTACAAAGTACATTTTCAATTTTTTTCCCAAGAATTGAGAGGACAAACTAAGCTGTACTCCATATCATTTTAAAATGGAAACTGTGTATCAGACTAGTACAAGGACATTTTTTTTTATTAAGGCATCACTGATATACACTCTTGTGAAGGTTTCACATGAAAAACATGTGGTTACTACATTCACCCATATTATCAAGTCCCCCCGATACCCCATTGAAGTCACTGTCCGTCTGTGTAGTAAGATGTCACAGAGTCACTACTTGTGTTCTCTGTACTACACTGTCTTACTTAATGTGCCACACACCATGTACACTAATAATGCCCCTCAGTCTCCTTCTCCCTCCTTCCCCTTCCCCTGTCCCTCCCCTTTGGTAACCGCTGTCCCTTTTTAGAGTCTGTGACTCTGCTGCTGTTTTGTTCCTTCAGTTTTGCTTCATTGTTATATTCCACAAATGAGGGAAATCATTTAGTACTTGTCTTTTTCCACCTGGCTTATTTCACTGAGCATAATATCCTCTAACTCCATCCATATTGTTGCAACTGGTAGGATTTGTTTTCTTATGGCTGTATAGTATTACATTGTGAATATGTACCACATCTTCTTTATCCATTCATCTACTGATGGACACTTAGGTTACTTCCATATTACAAGGACATTTTTTAAAGGCATAGAATTTATAGCTTTTTTTTAAGTGACTTTCAGTTATAATTCTTGAGCAGATTATTTGAAATGGTAGATTGACGGCAGTTGTATTACAGAGTGGTATCTGTCTGCTTGTTCATATCTGCCAAATAGGTGGGAAGGTTCTGTTTATTTAAGGCAGTGATTGTCTTTTGGTCTCCAGACCCCTTTATACTTAACAATTATTGAGGACTTCAAAGAGGTTTTGTTTTGTGAAGTTTTGTTTCAGATATCTTACTGATATTTATCACCAGAGAAGTTAAAACTAAGAAACTGTGGCATACATTCCATTTGCCATTAGAGTGATGCCATCACACATGAAGCCTTTGAAACACTATTCTTGCAAGAGAATGAGAGTAAATAATGTCATAGTTTTAACCTTGTAAACTACTTAAAATAGTCTCAGGGACTCCTCGGATCCTCAACCACACTTGAAGAACTGTTGCTGATTTACAGTCTACAGTGTTGCTTAGACCATTTGGGGGACAGCCTTCTGCCACATTCTTACAGATGTACCTAATAGGGACAAATATTCATGCTTTAAGGAAAAAGTTGACTTTTGCCGATATCCAGAATTAATTAGAACCCAGACTTGGCAGTAAGCATGCAGAGAATGAAGTTGGGATCAGAAACAACAGTGATTAGAAAGCTAGAAGCTCAGTTTGGGTACATGTAAGGAATCTGACTCTATAGGTATATCCCCAAAAGGAATTTCAATTATAGCATTTATTTTGGAATGAAAATGATGATCATTTGATTATCTAAATTCTTAGTAGGCCTGTCGCAAAAAAAAATATATATATATATATAGTGTCAAATCCCTGCACAGCTACCCATGAGACTTCTTACTTTGAATGAACTTTATATGTCTCTGTGGTAATTCTTTGAATTAGAACTAATTGTGGTATCACTTTAACATTTCTTTGACATCATGCAGCAGATACTCCCTACCATACTGCTTTTATTTTGTGAATTGTGAGATTCTTCAAAATTATCCCTGTACCTTCAGATTAGTTTACGTTATCTTCATCTTTTTTTTTTTTCTTTTTCTGATTCTTTACTGAATTCTTTTGGAGTCCTTCTCTTAAAACCTCTGAGAAGGGAGTCGAGAGGGCTCTAAGACTCAGGCTTATTTTAAGGAAAAATGTCTGTATGTGTGTTCTGTTGCTGTCTCTGCCCTTTGTCTGCTCATCTTGGCATTTTATCATGAGCCACTTGTAATTGGTATGCTTTAAACCTCCTCCTAACATGCCTTCTTCCCCTATTGAGTGGCTATTTATTTTTATTCATTTTTTATTTTTCAGGAAATATTTATTATGCCTACTCAGTGCTGGGCACTTGACTTGATACAAGAATTGAGTTCAGAGATAAATAAGATAGAGCCTACAGCCTAGAGGTCTTTTAAGGAGAAGGAAGGAAGGGAGAGAATGTAGAGGTATTAAAGAGAGTCTGAGTAGGAGCAAGTATTGAAGTTGATATCTTGGTTGGACTTGAGGCCTGAATAAAATGTGAAAGATTTGAGCATCTTCTGTGGGGTCTCCAGGGCAATGCTTCCAAAAATGTTTCTTCTATAATAAGTTTATTTTGTAAAGAAAACAAATACCTTCTACTTAAAGACTGAAATTTCATTGAACTTTGTGGTTTAGCCTAAGCCTGTGGCCATTATTTTCAGATAAAAAAGCTTTGTTCCCAAATATGTGTCTAAATAAATTTTGACTAAAATACTCCATAAAATTAGGTGATTTTATCTTATACCTTTAGTGTCCTCCTGGCATCTCTTACCACTTAATCCTAGGGTCACTCATTCCCCATCATGTATAAATAACTTGCTGGTGTATCAGTAAAATTAGTCCTTTTTCTGTCAAGTAGCAGGGAATATATACATGAAATTAGTAAGCAACTTACAGGTAAAGCCTACTGTGATTTTGAAGCAGGGATAAAGAGCATAGGCAAAGAGCATATACTACAGAGAAACATTATCTTATGGCAGCGTTTCTCAACTTAAGCACTTTTGACATTTTGGTCTGGATAATTCTTTGTTATGAGGAGCTCTTCTGTTCATTGTGTGGTGATCAGCAGCATTCCTGGCCTCTACTGCTAGATGTCAGCAGCTCCCTGCCTTCATCCTCCCAGTTGTGATGACCCAGAATGGTTCCAGACATCACCAAATGTTCTCTGGGGGACAGCATTGCCACAAGTTGAGAACTCCTGATTAACAGGAATGTCTCTAGGAAAAGAAAATCCATTGGATGGTGAGGATTGGATTAAAGTAGTTGACCATGAAATAAATCCTGGAAAAGGACTAAAATACACTAAAGAGGGCATTAGTGAGTTTAGTAAGTTGAGAACTAATTGGGGTACCAGTGGATTAAAAGTACCAGAGAAGATGGTATTGAATAAAGAAATTGGGGCTAGAGAAGAGAAGAGTATTCATGTTTGATGTGTAACTTGTAAAGCAGCATGTAAGGTCTTGGTGGTAGTGGTGGAGATGTATGATATGAAAGGGAGCCAGGGGTCTTTGGCGATCTGGGAGAATGAAAAAGTATGAATTCAAGGTGTTGGAAATACTTTTCTGGCCATTCCTTTGCTTCCTTTTCTCTTCTTGCCCCTTAGAAATTATTATTCATGGTTCTGTCCTAGGCCTTGATCTCTTCTTGCAAGGTCCAGTTAAGTGATTACTCAGCACCCTCTCTTATGTGAGATGAATGCTTGTATTTTAAATTAGATTTGGAAAACTTCATATAGTCTGGACCTTGGGTGCTTGTCACTTCTGCTCTCTTGATATCTACTCCCAGGGCTTCCTGTGTGTGTTAGTACAAATCTGTAACAGTAGTCTGGTTCTCTCCTCCCTGAACTTCAGACTCTCAGAGCCAGTGACCTCTACTAGACCTGTTTCCTGGGTGTCACAGGCACTTCACATTGAACATTCACAGCTGAACTTGTGTCTCTATACTTGTACTTCTTTCTCTTCTACTGTTTTCCAGTTAATGAGTTTATTCATTTAACAGATGTTTCTATCTTGCCAGAAACTCTGCTATCTAGGGTCTGTGGGCTGAGCAAATTAAATGTGGTCCCTGTCATCAGGGAGTTTACATTCCTCATCCCTCATATTCAGTCAGTGGCCAAGTCTTACTGAATTATTTTTAACTTCTCAAACAGATTACTTACTCTCTCACTTTTAGTGGTTAAACATTTTACTTTCCCTGCCTGTAACACTATTCTTCTGCTTTGCAATATCAAGTCCTTCCAAGCTGGGTTAATTGATTTTCTCATGCTGTCCTATGGGAAATGGGGCTTCTATTTCATTACTTAACTCTCTATTTTAATTGTTTACTTGTCTAGTTTTTCCAATTAGACTCTAAATAGCTTGAGACAAGGTCATTGCCTTTTTTTTTTGATTTATTAAAATATCATTGATACAGAATCTTATGATGGCTTCATATAAACAACACAGTGGTTTCAGCATTCACCCATATTATCAAGTCCTTACCCCCTCTATTGCAGTCACTGTCTCCCAGTGTAGTAAGATGTTAGTCATTAACTGTCTTCTCTGTGCTTTACTATGTTCCCCGTAACCTACCTATATTGTGATATGCATGGTTGAAGTTTTAAAAAGGGTGATCCGTGGTGGGGAAAAGAGACTGATAATGGGTTTCGAAAGTTGAAAATAATTATCCTAAAACATTTTTTCCTTTTGATAGCTCTTTGACAGATTGAGAGATGAAAATCCAGATTTTAGGGAGAAAGTCATAGCAATCAACAGTGAACTTACCCAACCTAAACTGGCTCTTAGTGAAGAAGATAAAGAGGTCATCATAGATTCTATCAATATTATATTCCACTGTGCAGCTACAGTAAGGTTTAATGAAAATTTAAGGTAAGTAAAAAGGTATTTTATAGTGTTTAAATTCAGCATAGTTAAAAGATCTAATTTGAATTCTGTGTTTTAGTCAAGTTGTTTGGAAAGCGATGTGAAACTGTTTGCTGTTTGCTTTATGGTAATTATGGTTTCCAGTGTTCAGAGAGTGTTAACAGAACTTCCTCTTGTTATCAGTTTAAAAACATTGGATAGCTAATATATGTTCATTAGAGGAAGTTGCCATGAATTAAATATGAGACAGGGAGAAGGCAAGAAATGCAAAGTGTGGAATAGAAAAAAGAGAAGTTTCCCTGAGTAGGAGTTGTTAGTTGTAGCAACTAATAGTTTATGCATCCTCTTTCTTCCATTCTTTCAGAATCCTATACCCCAGCAGCTTTATTTTCCATACATAATGATCTGAAAATTTTTTAAAATTAAGCTCAGACTTTGTAGAGTAAGATAAAATGGCTTGTCAATTTAAGTCACATATTGTTTTTGTTTTAAAACTTTGGTAGCATTGTTAGGGGCAGGGTGCATCAGACATAAATTATTTAATTCAAAAGAAATTTGAAGTTCCTCCAAGGTGCCTGTTTCAGGAAAAAATAACATTCTAAATGCTATTTTTTTTTTAAATCCAACAAATAATGCATTTCCAATAATGGTGCTTAATTCAGAGCATTCTTTTTGATGGTATATTAAAATGTACAGTTTTATAATATTAATCTAATTATATGGTCCTATACCAATTAAAATGGTACAGACTCCTTTAGGTTTCATAATTACTTGAAGGACTTTTTTTTTTCTTGAAGACCTTCTTTAAATGTTTTTAAACTAAATTTTGATTATAAAGGGTTTTGATTTAAAGTTGTCTTTAATATAAAAGTATAAACCCTAATTGACATTATGTAATGTAACAGGTCAGTGTCAAAATTAATTACAGTGTTTTGTTTATATTCCTGGTGAGGGCACTGTAATAGTCCTTTGCATTTCTGTAATAGTGCTTTAGAGTTTTCTGGTGTTTTCTCATTCATGACTTTATTCTCTGCTGATGTTACCCACTGTAATACTAGGGGCAAATCCATTTTGTACTTGAGGAAGCTGAGGCAGCACTGTGTAGCTGAAAGAACATGAACTTCGGAATGACGGTACCTTAGTTCTCTCCTTGCAGTCATTATGTGTTTATGGTTCAAAAGTGACAAAAGAATCTCCTAAGAACTATAGTAAAGTCTCATTTTCATAAAAATACATGTGTTACATATATGTGTATTTATATACATGTCTTTCGATATTGGCCAATTATTTATCTTTGGTTAGTGTGATTACAGGTAGGTTTTTAGTATAAAATAGTAGATTAACAGATATTTTCCCCTCATAGGTCTAGCTTTTTTTTTCATGACCAAAAGAAAGTGTTCATGCAGCCTTTTGAAACTGTTTTCAAGAATAAAAGGTGTATAGGTATTGGATAATTGTGGCATAGTTCTCATTAGCTTAAAGGGAAATTTAGATTATTTTACAGAGGACATTGATTTTCGAATAGGCAACTTAATTAGGGTCAGACTCATCAAAGTGACCTTTCTGAGGAAGACCAAGTACAGTTCTTTCAGGGAACCTTCTTCCTCTCTTTCTGTTCCCCTCAGGGTAAATAAGCCTACCATTAATGAAAGGTAAATCTTTTCACTGTTATGTTTTCTTTTTTTACTAGAGATACCATAGTGGAAGGGGTATGTAGATGAACAAGAAAATTTATTGCTCTGTTCCTTGTGAAGTAATGTATGTTTGTTGACATGACCATAGTAATCACATAGAAGTCATTTTTTTTCTGTGAGGCAGTTTTTCTGGATATTGATTTCTAAGTGGTGATGTTGCAGCATTAGATTTGGTCCAGACATTCTTAACTGCTATAGGTCTACATGTAATAACTACTCGTAAAACAATTACTCTTTATAACTACTTTCTAAGTTAACTCAAAAATGTAAAATGGCACAAAGCCTGTACTGGTGGGACAAAAAAAAACAGACTTTACTCCCAACATTATACCATATTTGCGAGAAACCAAGATAAATTGCACACATTCTGTTTGCAAAGTCTGTATGGTTTAGTGGAGGAGACATAATATGCTGAAATAACTATAATATGATAGAAAATAAGGAGTTACTGAAGAGTATACATTAAGTTCTGTGAGAGTAGAGAGATGGTAGAGCTCATTTGTTTTCAGATATGATCGTTTATAAATCTTGGATATCGAGATTAGGAGTTTTAAAAATATACTGACACGAATTGAGGAGACAGTGATATTGAGCGTAATAAAGCAGTTTACTTAAATAGTTGACCGTGGGGTCTGGTATACCATAGGTAGTAAGGAATGTGAAGGGTAATGAGTTGGAGTTGAGAGCCAATGGAGTTGAGAGTAAAGAAGTGTCAAGAAACTAGAGACCATGATAAAGACAGGTTTAGAGAGATAAATGGAAGGGCAGTTAGTGTGAACAGAAGGATAAATTCCTAGTGTGAGATTTCAGAGATGGAGCAATTCGGGGCCATGTGGCCCAGGATATGAATTTGAGAGGAGGTGTGTTCAGAAAGGAGTGGAAATAAAGATCGATGATTTTTAAAAAATAAAAAAATTTGAGTCTAAGGGCATTGGTTCTCAAACTCTAGAATGTATTATAAATCTTAAGAATTCCTGGAAACTGTGTTAAAAATGCAGAACCTTGGGCTCTACCTGTCAAATTTAGAACCTCTGGTTTTGGGATAATAACCCAGGAATTTTCATATTTTATGTGTGATTTAAGTTACAGGTATCTGGGTCCCCTATCTTAAGATTGCTTTGTTGGTCCCTAGATATCTGTCTGTATCTTCAAGTTAAAAAAAAAGTCAGCAAAAGTGATGAGATCTCTTCTCAGGAGTATTTTCTCAGAGGCCTGGGGGAGAGGAAGAAGAGTGATCAGAATGGCCTGGAGAACATTATTTAAAATGTAGTTTCCCAGGCATCTGTTTAGACATTAAACAGTGTCTGAGGATGGGGTCCAGCAGTCTTCAGTTTTAATAAGCTTCCACATGTCTGTCATGCCAGTAACACGAGATCTCTGGTTTAAGGTCTTAGAAGAAATACCAACATAGATTTTGAACAACATGTCTGTAGATGAACAAGAAAATGTGTTGACAGTTCAAGTTGAGTTTCTTTTTTTGTTTTTTGAAGTGTTTTTTATGTCTACATTGGACCATAGAATTATGGACCGTAATTACAAAGATTTGCTTATTTTGCACCCCTTGTGCCTACAAAAGCTAATGTTACTTAAGATGAATTTATGACTCCATATAACCAAAATATAATGAGAACATTATTTTTGTTTAGTACTAAATGCTTTCCAATCTGACATGTCAGGGTCTCAACTTGAAGTTCAATGGAAAGGAAATTGTATGGTAGTAAAATAGAGTGAGGTTATTAACCTGGCAGAGATACCAAGAGTCACTTATGTGGGTACAGAATGCCTTCTGATTTGGGCTCTCAGGTGCAGATGGGCAGGAGTGAAGGTAGGCAAGGTACAGGAGTGTTTCCTCTCTCAAAGTAGTTCTTATTTTCAGTGACCTAGAAACGCTGTCACCATTGTCAGGAACCTGTAACAGAATATATCCTTTTTGTGCTGCTCCCAAAACATTACACTACGTACCCCCATTGTTTTGCAAGAGCAAAAGAAAATAACAAATATCCTTATAGTCTAGTGGACAGTATATCCTCTGTGAAATGTTGTTTTTACTGGATCTCCATTTGAACAGATATATCCTCAGTTGAGAGAAGGAAGAAAACATACACTTATTAAGACTGCAACCCAATTATTTCATTAAAAAAAAATTTCCTTCTAGTATATTTTCATAGGCTCTCAGATACTATTAAATCAAAAAGCACTGGAGTTTTTCCTCTCATGAATTATTTCTTGTTTCTGGTGACCCAGAACTTGTCCTGACCTCAGAAACCTGTAACAGAATATTCTCTGTATACCTCTTCCAAAACAGAACCCTCTCAATCTCCATTGTTTTGCAAATGTGATAACATCAAAGCACTGCTTTACAGTAGGGTGGACCAGATTCTGTGACATATCCTGGCCTTTTAAAAGAGCAGTTGGACTTTTTTGCTCTTCTTAAATACTGAAAATGTAGGAATTTTAGAAAGTACTCAGAACTTTTATTTTTAAAGCATATTTTGTTTTAACATAAAATGTAAAGCAGACTTTCTAACTTTACTTAGAGAAACAATTTCCGTATTTCTAATTTTTTTCATAGTTAAATTTTTATGGTGTGGTACTCCATCAGGTTGATATACTATGACTGATGTAATATTCACTTAACATAGCAAATTTAGGTAATTTTGCTTACCAAAAAATTAAGGTTTGAACAGGTTTTTTCCTCTGGGTTAATTTCATTAGGTTAACTAGATTAATAATTGTCTATCTTCATAATTCCTGGTAGTTTGTCCTAATTCTTGAATCAGTTGTGTCAGGTTATAGTGACACCAAGTGTATTTCTTTGCCATTTTTACCACAGTATTACTGGTATTGAGTATTTCAACTTTTTTTTCCCCCAAATAACAAGCTGTAAACAAAAATGTAATAAAAGCAAAAACTACCCACCATCTGTCTCATTACCTCAAGTAATATTTATTGAATGCATGTTTCAGGATTATGTTAGGAATAATGCTAAATACTTAAAAACTATTGCATTGAATTTTATGGACATCCTAGTAGGTAGACTTCATTACTGTTCCCATTTACAGTTGAGGAAACTGAGGCCTGTGTGCTTGAGGGACCTTACAAGGTCACTCACTCCTAGCTGATAGGTAGAACAAGCTGGTTTTTGAACCCAGGTTTTATTCCAGAGTCTTGCTTGTAATCTTGCTTTACTTTGTAATGTATGTATTTAAAAAAATATTATTCATACAAATTTTCAGTGTTTTTATGGTTGTCATATAAATGTAAATGGTTATATTCTTTCATTGTGATAAAAGGACCTACTTTATTAAACTGTTTTATTCATAGTGAATATTTGGTGTCTCTAGACTTTTGCTATTACTAGATGATGCATCATTGATTGTTTTTATGCATATATACTTTTGCATTTGTGAAATTATTTGAATAAATTTCAAGAAAGGAATATATGGATCATTTTGGGGTCTTGAATGTGCCTCTTGTAACCAATGTACCAATTTATTATAATACCACTTTGAATTTTGTAAAGTAGTCTTAAAAAATTGTTTGGAGTAATTACTATAAAGAAGGAAGTGAACATTCTTACTTGAGTATATGTTAATATAATTTAGTGTTTTTGAGGGTTATTTTTTGACTATTTTACCCTTATTCGTGACTCTTTCTTAGTATTTTTAAATTACTTAACCATTCTTATTTCTTCTTATACACCCATATCATGAAACAGTGAACTTTTAAAAATCAAGATGCAAAAAAAAATTTATCATGACACCAAATATATGCACAAAAGCCCAAGACTGAAGTTATCTGTGTATATTTTGGGTTAATTTAAGATTTTTAAATTGTACTTTTAATTTTTAAATCCTAATAAGAAATTTATTTTATAATTTGAAAATCTTTCTTTATTAACACAACTGATAGAATGGATGTACTTCATATTGAAACAAACTACACAGAATGAGACCTGAGGAGTCAGTTGTAAAGAAACAAAAATCTGTCTCTTCCTCTGTCTCTGTCTCTGTCTCTAATGGAATAGATTTTTTTTAGCAGGTGAAATATATGGCGTAGCTTACCGATTTTTCATTGTCACTTTTTCTTTTACAGAGATGCTGTTCAGTTAAATGTAATTGCTACACGACAGCTTATTCTCCTTGCACAACAAATGAAGAATCTGGAAGTATTCATGCATGTATCAACAGCATATGCCTACTGCAATCGAAAGCATATTGACGAAGTAGTTTATCCACCCCCTGTGGATCCCAAGAAGCTGATTGAGTCTTTGGAGTATGTTTGTTTGAAATTTATATGCATTTGCTTTGATCCCAAAACTTTGGATCCAACTTCATTTATATGTATCTCTTGGTCTATTTCAGTTTCTCCCTCTCTCTCTCCAGCCTCTACACATATTTATAATATACATTTGTCTCTTCCTTTTTCAACAAATTATTATGTATCTGCTCTATTATTTTTATTGTATAGACTTATACCTAAATGACCGTTGGTGAAATCAGTGTGGGGCTTTTACTTTTGAGCAGGTATGATGGTTGGAGGAAGCCCTTCATACAACTCATCCATATTAGGGCTTCTGTTTTCCAGGGAATCAATTCTAGTGATTAAGAAGTACCTGACACCCAAGAAAATGAATGACTGCCTATTTGGTAGCAAGGTTCTAATTTATTAAAAGATTATTCTTTTCATTTTGCTCAATGGAGTATATCTAGAGAGGGGCCTTGAATTGTTTGGGAATCAATCATCCAGTTGATACTTCCAGTGCTATTATTTATCATCGTTATGAGGACTAGGGCCTTATCCACAATTACAGCTTGAGAAATATTTGGGAGTACTATATTTGATGGATAAGGAGTAAGTGTAGTTTGTATGGCCAAGATTTCATTTGCTTTGGGCTGCTCTCTGACCTAGTAAAACACACTGGATCAGAGCAAAGACCAAAAGAAGGGTCTTTTCTTCTTTTATAGCCTATAATTACAGAAAATTCTAGTATCTATAATTATCTCTACGTATTTGTTAGTCCTCATATAATATACCTGTGGGCTTTTTCCTCTTTTCCTCTTCTATGTTTCCACTTAGTTCTCCTTTCCTCCCAAATATCCTGTCCACTTTTGGCTTACTGAGGCATCCTTACGGTAATTCCCTGGTTTCTGTTTTTCTGACTCCCATTTCTTAGATGGTCCCAACTATCTACCTCATTTTCTTCACAGATAAGTAGGCAGAAATGTTTAATATCTTAGAAAGGTTGAGTATGGAAGCCATTGAAGCTTTTTACTTTTTTATCTCTTTAGCAGTTGGTAGGTATATCCAAACATTGCAAGTTGCCGAGAAAGAGGCTGTTACCTTATAAATCTGTGTCTCCTTTATTTGTTTACAAAGAAATCTAGCTAACATATAATTTTAAAATAACACATAGAGTGGTTCTGTTGACTCAGTCCAGTGATAAGGCTTACTGGCTAAAGTTCATCTATTTTCTTTTTATCTTCTTTGAATGTAGCAGCTATCTCTTCTATTTTTTAAAACTTATCTCCATTATGGAATTTTCTTAAGTTGAGTAGCAACCTCCCTTCAGTTTTGTTAGTATTCTTTTCCTTCCACACACAAAAAATACTTCTACATATACTTTTCCTTCCATACACAGATGTTCTTTTACTTATATACATATATATTTATGTTGATAATCTCAGTTTTATGCTTCCTTTTCAGTTAGTGTATCATTAGAGTGTGACAGTATACTAAGTATAAAAGTATGCATAGCATTATATACAATAAGGAAGTCTATCGGAAAACAAGTATAGTTAGCCCTTGAACAGTGCATGGGTTAGGGTTGTTGACCCCCTGAGCAATCTAAAATCTGTGTATGTATAACTTCTGACTCCTCAAAAATTTAACTACTAATAGCCCTCTGTGACTGGAAGCCTTACCCATAACATAAACAGTCAATTAACACATATTGTGTATGTTATACAAATTACATGTTATATTCTTATAATAAAGTAAGCTAGAGAAAATGTTTTTTCAGATTATTGCAGATCCCCCAAAAAATGTCTAATATATTTATTGAAAAAAATCCACTTATAAGTGGACCTGCACAGTTCAAGCCATATTGTTCAAGAGTCAACTATGTATAACATACTGGAATTAGAGATTTAGACTGGGAAAGATTGTAGATATCACCTAATGTACTCTCCTTTTACAGATGGTCAGATTAGACCTTTTCTTCAGACACTGAGAGAATTGGGGGAATCTTGTGATTTCATAGTTGGATGCTAATTGAATTTTATATCATGGTTTAGTTTATCTTTTTACCCTAGTATTAATTTTACTAGTGAGAAGATAGTCAATTTCCACATCCTCACCTTAAATATTTAGATTACTAGAACTTTTAATACTAATTGTCAATCTATGTTCATTGCAAACATACATAATTAACATGTACTGATGTGGCAGTGGTTATATTCAGATGAGTGATTCCTAATATGTGAAACCCTTGGGGCCAGATTTTGGAATTTATTTGGACTTCAGAAAGGAAATGTAATGTACATACTCTAGATCTGGAGTAGCATCCCTTATCAAACACATGAGATGTATGAACATTTACATGAAGTATTTTTAAAAAGACCATAAATCAATTCAAATCAGCTTTTGCTACCTGTCTTATGACTCATATCAGAACTTTTAAGTTTTCAAATCTTTTTGGATATAGAAATTAGATACAAGAGATAGGGACTTATAGCTGATGTTTAATGGAAGTAAGACTAGGATTTTTTTCAGTATGTTGTCAAATCAGTTGAGTCAGAGCAACAGATATGTATGAATATGCAAAAAGTAGAATGTTTTTTCATTTTATGATTAAACATTTACAAGTATTTTTGCATGCAATTTCTTTGTTTACTAGGTGGATGGATGATGGCCTAGTAAATGATATCACACCCAAATTGATAGGAGACAGACCTAATACATACATATACACGAAAGCCTTGGCAGAATATGTTGTACAACAAGAAGGAGCAAAACTAAATGTGGCAATTGTAAGGCCATCAATTGTTGGCGCCAGTTGGAAAGAACCTTTTCCAGTAAGTAGTCAGAAATCTTTGTAAATAACTGAAAATTTGAATTTTAAGTCATACCTGTATAAAAAGAGTTGGCAGTTGTTTAAGAGCAGGTGTTATTTACTGAACATGGCTTACTATGGCAACACTGTTTCCATACATAGCGACACTTTCATTGGTACCTTTATTTCTAATGTAATGCTTGCATGTATAGAAATGCAGAAAAACATTTCAAAAATCTTAACCGAAAATTAAACCAAAGGCTGTAATGTTGTGTGGAGTCCAAGGAGATCATGCTTTTTGAGTTTTCTTTGTGATTAGAAGAGACTGGACACGCCAACATTTGTTGGCTTTTTAAATGATTTGCTGATTAGTTTCCCTTTCAGAGGTGAGAATATTCAGGATCTTATTTCCTTTGCTATTTAGTACCAAAAAGAGGCAGGCCTTTCAAGGGGTAAACTCCTCCCTATAAAGATCACAAACGAGATTTCTATGATAATTCCCTGTAGGATTCTATGAAATTCCTATAGGAAAGCAGGATGTTATGGTATTTGTGAATCCCTGGAGTAAGAGAAAACATAAACTAACAGATGAATTAATTTAGGAGAAACCTAGCTCCTTATAATGGTAGTAATAGCATTTCTATTATTGCTTTGATAATTATTTTATTTTATTTTGTTTTCAATAGTCTTGAGGATTTTCCATTTCCCTCTAATCTCAGGATAGTGCCTCAGTAAATAGTACAAAATCAAACTTGAACAGGCTTAATTTAGCAAAAATATTTGACAGATTTTTAAAAAATTCTCATTGTAGAGAATTAATGTAAGAATAGGTCACCCCTTGAAAATGATTTAAGATAGTCATTTTCAATCCCAGAGGAAGATTGCTTCTTTTTCAAGTGGGGAGAAATACTCTGGCCTAGTCAATTTTTGTAGTTTTTACAAGAAAATTACTAAGTGTGTATATAGATTTCAAATAATAAACTTCTAGTTTCATGGTATTTCTAAGCTCCCTTTTTTAAAAATTTTTGATATTAGGGATGGATTGATAACTTTAATGGACCAAGCGGTCTCTTTATTGCGGTAAGTAAACCTTTTGATATATTTAATATTCTATATATTTTTCTGTTGTCTGTATATCTTTCTATGTACGTATGCACTCTGGCTTATATATCTTGTTTTCAATTTCAACAAAGGCAGGAAAAGGAATTCTGCGAACAATGCGTGCCTCCAACAATGCCCTTGCAGACCTCGTTCCTGTAGATGTAGTTGTCAACACAAGTCTCGCTGCAGCCTGGTATTCTGGAGTTAATAGGTACATGAAGTGATGATGTTGCTTGTTAAGTATATAGTAACTGAGAAAGGAAAACAGAGCTGTTGACTAATGTTAATTAATCCCTCAAGACTGATATTCCCATACGAGTATATGTAGACATTATCACTTCCAACTGCAAAAGTTGGCCTATCAAAGGCGAGGTAGCAAATAGTTCCTTCAGTTGTAATTAACAATTAACATTAATTCTCGTGTACTATGTATAGGATGGATAAGTTCATTAGGAATTAAGAGTGGGAAAAAACCCTGCCCTTCTCCACCCCAGATGATCCAAACTAAAACTTGGTGTAAACTTGGCATATATAAGGAGCTACAATGCACAGAGAATGGCCTACACATACCCAACATGGCTCACTAGAGCAGCTTTCATCAACTCATGGGCCTCCTTTTAAAAGGGTTTCCTTTTAAAGTGTTCCTCTTGTAAGCATTTACAAATAACACTTAAACTTTAAGCTTCTCAGTAACCTTTTTTTTTCCTGGTTAATAACTTGCTCTTATTTCTGAAGTCAGTATTTTATATCCTAAAAAAAGGAGGGATATAATTATGTGAATATAGTGTTTCTGGTAAAAAGGAACTCAGTCCAAATTTCTTTTCAACTAGCACTTCTGAAAATGGGAAGGAGATAAGATAGAAAGAACTGAGATTTTTTGTTGTTACTCTTTTCCTTATATGTAAAAACAGATACTCCTGCTGATATAAGGAGGAAAAACATGGAAAGAAATAAACTTTATTTTTTAACAAATAATAATGTGTTTTAATAGGGGAGGGTAAAAGCATAGTTGGAAATAGTCATTCATACACAAAAATTCTTTGAGGTTAATTTTTGAAATAATCAGTGTAGAAAAGGTACTCATTATCTTCATTTCTTCCTACTTGAATATCATGTAAGATTTAGATTGGGTGCATTTGGTGTCTTTTTATGTTTCATTGCTTTGATCTTTGTCTTTGCAGACCAAGAAACATCATGGTGTATAACTGCACAACAGGCAGCACCAATCCTTTCCACTGGGGTGAAGTTGGTATGATTTCACCTGTTTTTGAATACTAGAATAACTTAAAGAACTTAAACTGTTCACTGAATTTTTATGTTAGAATAATCCATGATGCATTAAAGCCCCTGAGGTACCAATTTATCCTTAATTGGCATGTTAGAATATCTACCAGTATTGTCGTGTGGTCCTTAAATGTTTCAACAGCTTAAAAATACCCTGCTGTATATTTCATTCCTGTCCCACCCTTGGCCTATCATTATTTTTCTGCTGCCATCTGCACCAATCTTCATAGATACCTTTGGTGTGGAAATTGCTTTTTTTCTCTGTAATGGGTACTCTCAATTCTGATGTTGCCTATCCATAGGCAATATCACTTCCAACTGCAAGAGTTAGTATATCACAGGAGATAGCTAGTTGTCCTAAGAGTAATAAATGAAGCAGTTAGCAAGTAGGATACATTTTGCCAGGATATTTTCTATTTCATTTAACCTATTCAAATTCACAAATCACAGTAGATAGTGTATATGCTATGTTTCTTGTTCTAAAATAGGAATAGTATGACTTAACGCCTATACTGAAATTGAATCATTCTTAAGTTGTTGGTTTATATTTTCAAGTTTGAAACAAGATATATTTATGACACTGATTTAGTAATAGGTCTTATTGTATCTCTAATTGAATGATTTTTGTTACCCTTAAGGAACCATTTTAATTTTAAAGTGAATCTTTAGGTCATTTGTCCTAGGATTTTTCTATGGCATTTTTATTATGATTTAAAGATTGATTATTAGGACATATACCAAGAAAAAAAATCTAGGGTGAATTTAATTTCATGATAATTATTTAAATAGTGTTCTTTTAAGAATTATAAAGTACTTTAAATTAGTTTTTTGGTTATTAATCATTGTGTAGTAAAGCTTGGTAAAAATCAAGTCAAGCATTATTTTTTAGTGAATATCTCAATATACATTTCTGTGAAAGTATTAACATAGATGGTAATAGATTTGGTTTTTATTGATATTGTATTACCTAAGTAAATTACAGCGTTAGTTAATTTTGTGTTGTTTTAAGCTTGTTGATGTTTGTTAATTTGAGCAACTTAATTATTCATAAGCAAAGATGATGATTTTCCTTTTCTTTTTAAGTAAGTACAGTAATAAGAATCTGGAAAGAGGAACAGAAAGAAAGAAGCTATCGTGAGGGATGAAATATAGAAAGTGACATTGTAAATTGACATAGGTAAAATATTAAAAGGATTTTTAAGAGTGAATTTTAGCAAAAATTTATTCATCTAATTAAAATTCATAAATAGTGGTAGTTCTAAAACCACTTGGGTTCAGCAGTCTAGTACCCATACTCTAGCTACTATAGAGTAGAAAAGTTTGTTTTTTAAATGAACGAACTCTGACAATTTTGGTAAAATATTGTGCTTTGTAAAAACATTTTTTTTTTCAAAACTTCATTACATGGTTATTATCAAAGCTGTTACACAACTTTTCTTCCTCAGAATACCATGTAATTTCCACTTTCAAGAGGAATCCTCTCGAACAGGCCTTCAGACGGCCCAATGTAAATCTAACCTCCAATCACCTTTTATATCATTACTGGATTGCTGTAAGCCATAAGGCCCCAGCATTCCTGTATGATATCTACCTCAGGATGACGGGAAGAAGCCCAAGGTAATGGTGACTGGCTCTGTCTTATCTGTTCCTCTGACTGTGAAACAACCCATGCTTACACTGAAATGCATATTAACTCTGTATTTGTTTATGCTCATGATAAGGCTTAATGGCCTTTTGCGAATGAAGAAGACCCTCGAATTTAAGACTTTGTCAGAAAAGCAAAGGTAGTGTTGTAATTCACTCTGATTTATTCTAAAGTTTGGATGATAAATTATTGTCACATGCTGAATTCTAGGTCTAACTTCAGGTATTTTTTCTGAATGACAAGTAATATTCAAAATGCTTTGACGCTTATTTCTCCTACAGGATATTATCTAAATCATTTCTTCAAGATGAATCCTTTAAACCAAGTATTCAGGCGCCCCAATATTAAGTTGTATTCCAACAACTTATTGCTTCATTATTGGAAGGGTGTCAGACATACAGTACCTGCATTATTGCTCGATCTTGCACTCAGGTTGACAGGTCAGAAACCGCGGTAAGAAGAATAGCAGTAAATACACTATGTATTGGTAAGGTGGTGGAAGCTTGCTGGAGAGACAAAACGTCGCTAGCATGAGCTTTACCTTTAGAATTACTAACCTGATTAATCACAATCACAATCAGGATGCTAGGACATTTCTTAGAAATTGAGGATATTTGAGAAGACTACCTGTGAATCTCATCTTACTTGTGCCATTGATCCCCCAAAACCCCATAATACAGGAAATGTCCAACATCAAGGTTGTCATTGTTATTATAAGCTGAAATTGAGCCCATCTCCTTTCCCCTTTAAAAACTTAGAGGTGAGTTTTATAGGGTTTAAGGGCAAAATGCTTTGCCTTAAATGGATTATGTAGTGTTATGTGAAAAAAATAGGATCCTTCTAGAAATTACTTACTTGAAATATCTCAGCTGCCCATTCAGCTTATAATATGGTAATTACAGTTTTTGACTAACATTCCAGGTTGAGAATGTCATAGTTTAAGACAAAAGTTAACAAATTGAAAACTTCCTATTATCTTATAGTTGTTGTAGCCTTTCTTTCTTTTCATTTTTATTGAAACCCCACAAACTTAAAATCCTCTTACTCTCTTTACCATAATTATAGTGACATGTACTCTAAAAATATTAATTTTTTAAATTATATTGGCATTTCAGTGGAGCCTTTGATTGGAGAGTTCAGGATTTGAGTATTTATATATAAAGAAGATGCTGATTACAGAACTTCCATCAACTGCTCAAAAAATAAGAGTGAGGTATCAGCCAGTTATAGTATATCAGGATCTGAGTTACTTGTAGGGATTTCGGTGGATTCAGTTGTCCATTATGTTCCTAACCCTTTATGTTAAATATTGAACTATGTGAGAGATACTGAATTGAACAACCTTAGAATAGGTAAAGAAATACTTAGTGGAAGAAAGATCCAAAATATATCAAAACTATTCAAGTTTTTCTGGAATGATCTGCAAAGTATATTTGTCATTGGCAGCATTCTTTTGTGGTTAAAAAGCATATTTAATTTATGAGTGACAGCAGTGCATGCTTTCTTGATATTAATATAGTTACTGCAAGTTAGAGCAGGCAAGTCAAAACTATGTCAGAAGAGTAAAACAGCTTAAATAGACCACAAGGTCTTGCACAGAAAAGGGCACAGTAAGCAAAAAATGAGTGAATAGCCAAGGCTTTTTAAAAAATTAATAATAGATGTTGCTACATAAAAGATCATCTCAAACTTTGGCTTAAAACATCAGCAGTCATTTTATTCTTTCTTTCAATGTATTTCTCTATCAGGAATTTGGGAGGGAATCAGCTGGCAGTTCTGGTTTGCGGGTGGTCATGTGATTATGGTCAGATGGTGTAAGAAAGGTTGTGCAGTGGAATAGCTGGTATCACTGTCTCTTCACATAATATCAGAACTTGTTACATAGCCTCTGCTAAGACTAGAGGTTGCCTTAGGGGAACTGGACTGCTTCCATAATGACTGAAGGCTTCAAGGAGACGTTTTTCAGCAGGAAGGTGGAAACTGCATGCGTTTACTTGCCTACTTTCAGAAATCATGCAGCACTACTTCTGCCACTGCTTCCACTTGTGACCACTTTAGGTTCAAGCAAGTCACAAGTCCTCCAAGATTCAAGGAAACAGGATGTACAGAATGGTCAAGATCATACTGTAAAATTAGAGCAACTGAGATGAAAGATACGGTTGCAGCCATTTTTGGAAAGTGCAGTCTGCAGCAGTCAGTCTTCTGGCCACAATTCGTATTCCTTCCATGTGAAAAATACATTTGCTTCCTCCCCCAAGACCTTTTTTGCATCAGCTTGAAGCCAGTGTTCGGTTGACTGTATCTGGTACAATTGCATATGAGGCTCTCAGGAGTGGTTTTGCTAAGGTATAGTTCCTCAAATATTGGTCTGGAAACCGGTGAATAAAGTGACAAGGTATCTGCTCTCCATATACTCAACAAGCCTATGAGACAAGCAATAGGAAAATGACTTTAGGCAGTGTGTTTAAAAAGAGAGAAGGTAAGAGGCACACAGCCATCAGTGGTTCATAACAGTTTTGAATTCCAGCCAGATATGTTTGATGATTTCTTAATTAGGGACCATTCTACTCTCTGGGTATTCTCTGAGACTCTTGGCTCTGCAGCCATAGGTAGTATGTAAATGAATAAAAATAACTGTGTTCTAATACAACTTTATTTATAAAAATGGGTGGATTTGGCCCTTTGGCTCTCGGTTCCTGACCCTTGATCCTGAGGACTCTTCATTTTGTCCTGTCTTCGTCCCCTTAAATATAAACTGCTATGATTCCTTTTAAAACTATGGGTTTCCTGTATATCTATTTTAAAACAATCTAGTCCATTAGACCAGAGCCATACTCACAGATCTCTCTGAGACATGCTCTTCTCTATCTTGGGTTCCTTTTGAGACACTACTTTTACATCATAGATCCATTCCTCTTAGATCTTTCGACTCTTAGATTCTACCTTTTAAAAACAATAGGGTTTCTAGTAGACATGTTTTTAAGATCTGCAATGAGCCTTTATTTGTCTGAAAGGTCCTAGGTACTACCTTAGATCTTTCTAGGGTTTTAATAAAGAATCTTAGATCTGCATTTGGGATTTGATCTATGCTCAGAGCCATTTCTTAAAGAATTGTTGCCTGGTATTTTACCTTTTTTCCAAATTTCACTTAAAAAATAGTGCTTAAGGTCATCTTTGTCCTTTTTGAGGAAATCTTGGCTAGATCATCAAGTTTGGTAGGTACAGTTTCTATTTTCCATGTTACCACAGGTAGCAGTTTTGTTCTTCCAACCTCCAACAATACTCAATTACTGTAAGCCCTCACCAACAACTTCCCTATGGCTCTTTAAGGCTTCCTGTAACATTGTTTTCTTGGTTCTAGGTTTCACCAGTGGTCTCTTCAGGGGTTTTCCATATTTTGTCTACCACCTGATTCTAGAGACAGTACTATATGTTTTAGATTTTTATTATAGCAGCCCCTCCTTCCCATTATATGTGCTGTGTGACAGATCACTTCAAATTTAATATTTTTAAATTGAGGTACAGTTGACATCAAGCTTCATATCTTAAAACAAAAATTTTATCTCTGTGGGCAGAAATTACAGGATGGTTTGGCTAGGTGGTTCGGGCTCAGGGTCTTTTGAGTGGTTGCAGTCAGATCAGGAGCAGTAAAGAAGAGGGAGGGTGCAAAGCAGCTGGAGTAGCCAGGTGTCTCTCCCTCTCCGTGTAGTCTCAGAGCCTCTCCATGTGGTCTTTCCATGTGGGCTAATTTGGGCTTCCTCACAGCATGGCAAACTCAGGGGCAGCTGGACGGCACACATGGCAACTCCAGGTGTCAAGGGTGAGTATTCCAGTGTGCACGACATAGAACTCTGTCATATTTTCTAACCGCCCCTTGAAAGTCACACACTGTCACTTCTACCTCATTCTGTTGGTCGTAGTTACTGTCACCTCTTGAAGGCAAGATAGTCAAGGTGATACTGTAGGTGAGCATTTAGGATCGGAACTAATATTGCAGCTATCTATAAGAGACAAAGTTTTTTTATCTAGGCATTTTAAAAATGTTAAACACAAAATCTTATAATAACCTAATTTGTTCTTATTCAATAAATTATATTCTCTACTGATTAAGGTACTAGGCTTTATTCTTTATTGTGATCTTAATATATTAATGCCTATTCCTTCATTAAAGTAATGTCAGTCATGACATTGATGGTGTCCATTATATTATTCTGAGCATCAGCTAGATAAAAGTATGACTTGCTATATATCTTGACATAAAATTATATAACTATATACTTCATACATATTATTACCTCAATTATAAACTCTGAAATGGGTCATATGGATTCCTGGTTAATAGTTATTGGGGACTAGAATGCATGGTATTGTTGCATGTAGAAGCAGTGTAAATGACTCATTATGGCTCTTAAAATATAATAGATATCTCATCACTCTTAAAAATGACAATTACAAAAATGATTCCATGGTCTTGTTTTTTGGTTATTTAACTTAACTCTCTCTAGCTTAACTTTTCTGAATCTGATACTTTTTTATCTGTGTGGTTCTCAATGGAGGGCAGTTTTGTCCCTGTCAGGAGACATTTCAAAGTATTCGGAGACATTTTTCGTTATCACAGCTGGTGGTGGGGAGCTTCTGGCATCTAGTGGCCAGGGATGCTGCTGAGCATCTTATAGTACTCAGGACAGCCCCCAACCACAAAGAATTGCCTGGCCCAAATGCTGTAGTACTGAGGTTGAGAAACCTGGACTAAATGACCATTAAGGTCTTGCCCTACTCCAAAGGATTGTGATTAATTTTTGTAGGTTGCCTTAGGAATAAATAAATACTCAGAACATACGTGGTCATTAGTACCAGGCATCTATTATTATGGCATATTTAACCAAAAGATGATGGTGCAGAGTTTTAAGTTTCTTTTTATCCCCCGTAGTATTCAATCCAGTACTTTCATTACTTGATAAATATTCTGTGGATACTTACTTCACACATACGTGGCCTTTCAAATTTCCTTCTCCCCCTCCAGTTTTATTGTAATAATTTTTGAATGGCTGAATTTGTGATTGTTTTAGGGTAATTTACTTGAATGAATCTGAAGATAAAGACTAGGTGAGAATTGTCAGTGGAAAAGGAGTAAGAAAGAAAAACAATAATAAAATGTATGTTGGAAACCATGTTAACCAAATATTTATATGTGTGTGATTCAAGTATATTCTTCTGGTTTTGATAGTAGATATTAATTCAATTACAAATCCGTTATATCTTTTTATTGTTTTTAGGAAAATATTGTCTAATATCTTTTCTAAAAGCACTATGTCTTGTTTTTTTCCCCCAAGTGCTTTCTGTCTATCTGAACTATTCTTGCCCAAATATAGCCTCTGATGCTCAAGAACTCTTTTCATGTTTAATGGAGATTTCATTTCATAACTTCCTTGCATGAGCTACAGTTTTTTTCTACATAGTCATGTTGTCTCATTTTTCTTCAGGAGTATGGATTCAGGGTTTCTTCCTAAATGTATTAAATATGTCATCAGAATTGCTTAGCTAATGTTACTGTTTTGATCTCCTCTCACATTTCTAACGTTCTAATTTTCTCCCATTTCTAAAGCCCCTAATTTTGGGACTTCATGCTAATCTTTATTGTGGGAATATAAATGAATTATTTTTAGTATTTCTCCACACATTATTTTTCTGATTATCAGAGGTTAGGAATATTTTGGTGTGTGTTCTGTTTCAAAAAGTTCTTCCTTTTCCCTACTTATCATAGGTAATTATTATATAGATGTTACTACTCTGGCTAGTGTTATGATATCAATGACTTATAGTGAGCCATGATACATAAAATGACAGATTTAAAGAGTAAGGCTCCTCACCCTTTAAAAAATACAAAAAGTATGGAATTCCCTTATTTCTATAAAGGTGGATATTGGGGTTTGGGGGAGATGAATGAATATCTTGAATATCTATTTCAGAAAGTTTTCAGCATGAGTCATTGATTTCACAGCACATCCAGATGATCAAGAGTGGTACCTGTCAGTGTTAAAGAGAAGGTTATTTAGAAAATATATGTAGAAAGAGTTGATTAAATGGTAAACGAATATTTCTGTATACTTAAATTCCATGAGGCTGAAGAGTTGGGATTGTTATGTAACACAGTATGTTATAAATTCACAGGAAATCTTAGTAAATGCAGCTGAACTAAAATGTGGTTTAAGAAACAAAAGAGCAAGAGAATACTAATTGAATCCATTTGTTAATATCGTATGTGGAAGATTGGAACTAAAGTGTTGTATTTCCTTTGAAATTAATTTCATTTATCAACAATTCTGTTAAGCAGTCTTAAATTCATTTGCTGCTCCTTAAAGTTTTTTTTCATTTTGGATTTACAAAATGTTCTAAGATGCAGAAATATTCTTATTCCCTGGTGTTTGGTTCCTTATTGAATTACATATTATAATTTTACTGTTAATGTCTCTATATAGAAAATGGTACCCTGGGTGGTGATGAGATTTTTTCCTAATCTATGCAAATTATGAGTCTATCTATTTTTCTTATAATACAGGATGATGAAAACAATAACTCGTCTTCACAAAGCTATGATGTTTCTTGAATATTTTACAAGTAATTCTTGGGTTTGGAATACTGACAATGTCAATATGTTAATGAACCAACTAAACCCTGAAGATAAAAAAGCAAGTATTTACTGTTTTATATTAGAGAATAAGTAGCATACTGATTTGAAAACCATTAGTAGCCTGAGAAATAATTGGATATTTTCCACAACTATATAATGCAACAAGAATTTCATTGATCTATTTATAGTCTTATTAAAGCTTTAATCATAATTGTTATTGGTAAAATAAAGTTGCTTAATCTTAGAATTATAATGTAAATGTTTCAGAGTGGCAGAAATATTTTCAAAGTATGACTGAAATGTTAATTCTCTTTTTCCCTTTAATGTCAGGTTAAAAGGGAACTTTTGACTTCTTTATGCATTTTCTTTCCACATATTTTGAATTTTGAGAAAAACCGTCTCTCCAAAATTGTTTTTTATTTGCCTTCTTTTTATCCTTCCACATTTGCCCTCTGTTAGTTTGAAATTTGAACTCTTTGTGTGTGCTGCCTTGGAGGTTACTTTACGTATTTTAACATGCATACCTAACAAAGTTTAAGTTAAGCAATTTCCATAGCCTCCTCCTTAATGATATTTAGGACCTTAAAATATTTTAACTGAAATTACCACCTCTACTAACTAATATGGTTATATATTACTTTGGTTCTCTATTTAAGCCTTGTTATTAGAAATGATTATTGTGTTTAGTTTCATTTAGAGTTAACTGTATATTTACCAATGTCTTTGCTATCATTTCAGGATCTCTTTATGATCATTTTCTTTCTGCTTGAAATATATATACCCAGAATACTGGAATATAATTTATCAGGGGGTCTGTTAGTAGTGAATTCTTGAGTGTTTGATTGTCTGACATGTCTGTTTTACCTTTGATTCTATAATATCATTTCAGCACATTGGAGACACCTTTCTTTTTATAAAAAATGTCTTACATTATTGCTTTTAAAAGTCAGTTTAATTGGCTGCTACTTTACAGGTGATCTGTTACTTCTGGCTCTTCTTCAGAGTTTATGTTTGGTACTCTGCAGATTCAATATGAATGTGTCTGGGTGTAATTTTAAAAAATTTATCCTGTTTTGGTTGGGTTTCCTGAACTCAGGAAAATACTTAGCCATTGTTTTTTCAAATATTGCCTCTTCACATTATCTTGTGAAATTTTAGTATATGTTAGATCATTTTCTCCTTCAGGTCTTTTATTTCATATTTTATATTGCTTTGTTTCCAGCCTAAATTCTAGATGTTTGATTAAAGTTCTGTGGCAGTCTTATCAGCTGTGCCTAAACCACCCAACCGAATTTTGGATTTCAGTTATGTCATTTTGAGAAGTTCAATTAATTTTTCAAATCTTACAGACATTTCTTAAATAACCTTTAGAACTTTTATCTTGAACCATGCTGAACATAAATGTCTTAAATTCAGTTTCTGATAATTCAGACTTCTAAAGGCTGTGCAGCATTTGATCAATCTACTATTCCATGCCTTTTCACTCGTCATAGGGGAATCCAATTATATATATGTGTTACCTTCTTGTATCTCCTATCTTAAGTCAAGTCTCCTTTTAGTGCAATGTCACCTTAATGATTTATTTAAGGAAACTTTGTTTTTTGGTCTAGAGCTTACTCCTTTCAGATAAGTGGTAGTAAATAATGAATAATCTGTTTATCATTAAAAAAATTATCTGATTATGTGTAGAGGAGCACTGAGTAGTGCATAGCCCCCTTATTTTGTCATGAAATAGCATTTTTGTAAGGCTTTCTTTTTTAGATTATTTTAGCTTTTTCATCAAATGGCCTACTTACTGTTTGTTATCTAAACTCCTAAGCCAGCTTTCATATTTGTTCTCTTGATGTCAGTTCTATTCCTCAGGATAATTAATTTGTATAGTATGCAGGATGTTCAACAAGAGGAGATAGAAATTGGAAATAAGTGTATTAATAAGTGTATAAAGTGGTGAGGAATACATAGATGTATTTGGACAATGGGATTTTATCTTTTTTTTTTTAATGGTGCAGGCTTCTTTATCCTTATACTTCATATACTCTTAAATTGCTGACATGAGTTTTGAGATTATCTTCTTTAATGTTTTTGTGTTTAAGGGAATGTATGAAGTAGGAATAAGAACTTTTCTGTCAATAAGTAGTAAGATTTTAAAAGTTAATACTGTATTCTCTCCAGATTCTTCTTAGTAGATCTTATTTTTTATCTTTTCTTCATTTTGGTTACCCTAAATTATTTCTTTCCTTCTTAAAATGCACATTCCAAACCTACCACCCTAAGATTCCAATCAGTCCAGAGGATTAGATGAAATGTGTGCTGTAGATTCTGATGGAAATCCTTACTTGCTTTTGAACCTCTCAAATTTAATGATTTTTTTTTAAAGATAAGTAATAAATGTGTCTATGTTGGGGAAAATTTTTTTTTTAATTTAGTACTGTAAACATTTTGTGATCATGCAATGTGGAATTAACCTTTAGAAAAAGCATGAATTTTTGACTAATGGTGAAAACAGCCATAGGTAGTATGTAAATGAATAAAAATAACTGTGTTCTAATACAACTTTATTTATAAAAATGGGTGGATTTGGCCCTTTGGCTCTCGGTTCCTGACCCTTGATCCTGAGGACTCTTCATTTTGTCCTGTCTTCGTCCCCTTAAATATAAACTGCTATGATTCCTTTTAAAACTATGGGTTTCCTGTATATCTATTTTAAAACAATCTAGTCCATTAGACCAGAGCCATACTCACAGATCTCTCTGAGACATGCTCTTCTCTATCTTGGGTTCCTTTTGAGACACTACTTTTACATCATAGATCCATTCCTCTTAGATCTTTCGACTCTTAGATTCTACCTTTTAAAAACAATAGGGTTTCTAGTAGACATGTTTTTAAGATCTGCAATGAGCCTTTATTTGTCTGAAAGGTCCTAGGTACTACCTTAGATCTTTCTAGGGTTTTAATAAAGAATCTTAGATCTGCATTTGGGATTTGATCTATGCTCAGAGCCATTTCTTAAAGAATTGTTGCCTGGTATTTTACCTTTTTTCCAAATTTCACTTAAAAAATAGTGCTTAAGGTCATCTTTGTCCTTTTTGAGGAAATCTTGGCTAGATCATCAAGTTTGGTAGGTACAGTTTCTATTTTCCATGTTACCACAGGTAGCAGTTTTGTTCTTCCAACCTCCAACAATACTCAATTACTGTAAGCCCTCACCAACAACTTCCCTATGGCTCTTTAAGGCTTCCTGTAACATTGTTTTCTTGGTTCTAGGTTTCACCAGTGGTCTCTTCAGGGGTTTTCCATATTTTGTCTACCACCTGATTCTAGAGACAGTACTATATGTTTTAGATTTTTATTATAGCAGCCCCTCCTTCCCATTATATGTGCTGTGTGACAGATCACTTCAAATTTAATATTTTTAAATTGAGGTACAGTTGACATCAAGCTTCATATCTTAAAACAAAAATTTTATCTCTGTGGGCAGAAATTACAGGATGGTTTGGCTAGGTGGTTCGGGCTCAGGGTCTTTTGAGTGGTTGCAGTCAGATCAGGAGCAGTAAAGAAGAGGGAGGGTGCAAAGCAGCTGGAGTAGCCAGGTGTCTCTCCCTCTCCGTGTAGTCTCAGAGCCTCTCCATGTGGTCTTTCCATGTGGGCTAATTTGGGCTTCCTCACAGCATGGCAAACTCAGGGGCAGCTGGACGGCACACATGGCAACTCCAGGTGTCAAGGGTGAGTATTCCAGTGTGCACGACATAGAACTCTGTCATATTTTCTAACCGCCCCTTGAAAGTCACACACTGTCACTTCTACCTCATTCTGTTGGTCGTAGTTACTGTCACCTCTTGAAGGCAAGATAGTCAAGGTGATACTGTAGGTGAGCATTTAGGATCGGAACTAATATTGCAGCTATCTATAAGAGACAAAGTTTTTTTATCTAGGCATTTTAAAAATGTTAAACACAAAATCTTATAATAACCTAATTTGTTCTTATTCAATAAATTATATTCTCTACTGATTAAGGTACTAGGCTTTATTCTTTATTGTGATCTTAATATATTAATGCCTATTCCTTCATTAAAGTAATGTCAGTCATGACATTGATGGTGTCCATTATATTATTCTGAGCATCAGCTAGATAAAAGTATGACTTGCTATATATCTTGACATAAAATTATATAACTATATACTTCATACATATTATTACCTCAATTATAAACTCTGAAATGGGTCATATGGATTCCTGGTTAATAGTTATTGGGGACTAGAATGCATGGTATTGTTGCATGTAGAAGCAGTGTAAATGACTCATTATGGCTCTTAAAATATAATAGATATCTCATCACTCTTAAAAATGACAATTACAAAAATGATTCCATGGTCTTGTTTTTTGGTTATTTAACTTAACTCTCTCTAGCTTAACTTTTCTGAATCTGATACTTTTTTATCTGTGTGGTTCTCAATGGAGGGCAGTTTTGTCCCTGTCAGGAGACATTTCAAAGTATTCGGAGACATTTTTCGTTATCACAGCTGGTGGTGGGGAGCTTCTGGCATCTAGTGGCCAGGGATGCTGCTGAGCATCTTATAGTACTCAGGACAGCCCCCAACCACAAAGAATTGCCTGGCCCAAATGCTGTAGTACTGAGGTTGAGAAACCTGGACTAAATGACCATTAAGGTCTTGCCCTACTCCAAAGGATTGTGATTAATTTTTGTAGGTTGCCTTAGGAATAAATAAATACTCAGAACATACGTGGTCATTAGTACCAGGCATCTATTATTATGGCATATTTAACCAAAAGATGATGGTGCAGAGTTTTAAGTTTCTTTTTATCCCCCGTAGTATTCAATCCAGTACTTTCATTACTTGATAAATATTCTGTGGATACTTACTTCACACATACGTGGCCTTTCAAATTTCCTTCTCCCCCTCCAGTTTTATTGTAATAATTTTTGAATGGCTGAATTTGTGATTGTTTTAGGGTAATTTACTTGAATGAATCTGAAGATAAAGACTAGGTGAGAATTGTCAGTGGAAAAGGAGTAAGAAAGAAAAACAATAATAAAATGTATGTTGGAAACCATGTTAACCAAATATTTATATGTGTGTGATTCAAGTATATTCTTCTGGTTTTGATAGTAGATATTAATTCAATTACAAATCCGTTATATCTTTTTATTGTTTTTAGGAAAATATTGTCTAATATCTTTTCTAAAAGCACTATGTCTTGTTTTTTTCCCCCAAGTGCTTTCTGTCTATCTGAACTATTCTTGCCCAAATATAGCCTCTGATGCTCAAGAACTCTTTTCATGTTTAATGGAGATTTCATTTCATAACTTCCTTGCATGAGCTACAGTTTTTTTCTACATAGTCATGTTGTCTCATTTTTCTTCAGGAGTATGGATTCAGGGTTTCTTCCTAAATGTATTAAATATGTCATCAGAATTGCTTAGCTAATGTTACTGTTTTGATCTCCTCTCACATTTCTAACGTTCTAATTTTCTCCCATTTCTAAAGCCCCTAATTTTGGGACTTCATGCTAATCTTTATTGTGGGAATATAAATGAATTATTTTTAGTATTTCTCCACACATTATTTTTCTGATTATCAGAGGTTAGGAATATTTTGGTGTGTGTTCTGTTTCAAAAAGTTCTTCCTTTTCCCTACTTATCATAGGTAATTATTATATAGATGTTACTACTCTGGCTAGTGTTATGATATCAATGACTTATAGTGAGCCATGATACATAAAATGACAGATTTAAAGAGTAAGGCTCCTCACCCTTTAAAAAATACAAAAAGTATGGAATTCCCTTATTTCTATAAAGGTGGATATTGGGGTTTGGGGGAGATGAATGAATATCTTGAATATCTATTTCAGAAAGTTTTCAGCATGAGTCATTGATTTCACAGCACATCCAGATGATCAAGAGTGGTACCTGTCAGTGTTAAAGAGAAGGTTATTTAGAAAATATATGTAGAAAGAGTTGATTAAATGGTAAACGAATATTTCTGTATACTTAAATTCCATGAGGCTGAAGAGTTGGGATTGTTATGTAACACAGTATGTTATAAATTCACAGGAAATCTTAGTAAATGCAGCTGAACTAAAATGTGGTTTAAGAAACAAAAGAGCAAGAGAATACTAATTGAATCCATTTGTTAATATCGTATGTGGAAGATTGGAACTAAAGTGTTGTATTTCCTTTGAAATTAATTTCATTTATCAACAATTCTGTTAAGCAGTCTTAAATTCATTTGCTGCTCCTTAAAGTTTTTTTTCATTTTGGATTTACAAAATGTTCTAAGATGCAGAAATATTCTTATTCCCTGGTGTTTGGTTCCTTATTGAATTACATATTATAATTTTACTGTTAATGTCTCTATATAGAAAATGGTACCCTGGGTGGTGATGAGATTTTTTCCTAATCTATGCAAATTATGAGTCTATCTATTTTTCTTATAATACAGGATGATGAAAACAATAACTCGTCTTCACAAAGCTATGATGTTTCTTGAATATTTTACAAGTAATTCTTGGGTTTGGAATACTGACAATGTCAATATGTTAATGAACCAACTAAACCCTGAAGATAAAAAAGCAAGTATTTACTGTTTTATATTAGAGAATAAGTAGCATACTGATTTGAAAACCATTAGTAGCCTGAGAAATAATTGGATATTTTCCACAACTATATAATGCAACAAGAATTTCATTGATCTATTTATAGTCTTATTAAAGCTTTAATCATAATTGTTATTGGTAAAATAAAGTTGCTTAATCTTAGAATTATAATGTAAATGTTTCAGAGTGGCAGAAATATTTTCAAAGTATGACTGAAATGTTAATTCTCTTTTTCCCTTTAATGTCAGGTTAAAAGGGAACTTTTGACTTCTTTATGCATTTTCTTTCCACATATTTTGAATTTTGAGAAAAACCGTCTCTCCAAAATTGTTTTTTATTTGCCTTCTTTTTATCCTTCCACATTTGCCCTCTGTTAGTTTGAAATTTGAACTCTTTGTGTGTGCTGCCTTGGAGGTTACTTTACGTATTTTAACATGCATACCTAACAAAGTTTAAGTTAAGCAATTTCCATAGCCTCCTCCTTAATGATATTTAGGACCTTAAAATATTTTAACTGAAATTACCACCTCTACTAACTAATATGGTTATATATTACTTTGGTTCTCTATTTAAGCCTTGTTATTAGAAATGATTATTGTGTTTAGTTTCATTTAGAGTTAACTGTATATTTACCAATGTCTTTGCTATCATTTCAGGATCTCTTTATGATCATTTTCTTTCTGCTTGAAATATATATACCCAGAATACTGGAATATAATTTATCAGGGGGTCTGTTAGTAGTGAATTCTTGAGTGTTTGATTGTCTGACATGTCTGTTTTACCTTTGATTCTATAATATCATTTCAGCACATTGGAGACACCTTTCTTTTTATAAAAAATGTCTTACATTATTGCTTTTAAAAGTCAGTTTAATTGGCTGCTACTTTACAGGTGATCTGTTACTTCTGGCTCTTCTTCAGAGTTTATGTTTGGTACTCTGCAGATTCAATATGAATGTGTCTGGGTGTAATTTTAAAAAATTTATCCTGTTTTGGTTGGGTTTCCTGAACTCAGGAAAATACTTAGCCATTGTTTTTTCAAATATTGCCTCTTCACATTATCTTGTGAAATTTTAGTATATGTTAGATCATTTTCTCCTTCAGGTCTTTTATTTCATATTTTATATTGCTTTGTTTCCAGCCTAAATTCTAGATGTTTGATTAAAGTTCTGTGGCAGTCTTATCAGCTGTGCCTAAACCACCCAACCGAATTTTGGATTTCAGTTATGTCATTTTGAGAAGTTCAATTAATTTTTCAAATCTTACAGACATTTCTTAAATAACCTTTAGAACTTTTATCTTGAACCATGCTGAACATAAATGTCTTAAATTCAGTTTCTGATAATTCAGACTTCTAAAGGCTGTGCAGCATTTGATCAATCTACTATTCCATGCCTTTTCACTCGTCATAGGGGAATCCAATTATATATATGTGTTACCTTCTTGTATCTCCTATCTTAAGTCAAGTCTCCTTTTAGTGCAATGTCACCTTAATGATTTATTTAAGGAAACTTTGTTTTTTGGTCTAGAGCTTACTCCTTTCAGATAAGTGGTAGTAAATAATGAATAATCTGTTTATCATTAAAAAAATTATCTGATTATGTGTAGAGGAGCACTGAGTAGTGCATAGCCCCCTTATTTTGTCATGAAATAGCATTTTTGTAAGGCTTTCTTTTTTAGATTATTTTAGCTTTTTCATCAAATGGCCTACTTACTGTTTGTTATCTAAACTCCTAAGCCAGCTTTCATATTTGTTCTCTTGATGTCAGTTCTATTCCTCAGGATAATTAATTTGTATAGTATGCAGGATGTTCAACAAGAGGAGATAGAAATTGGAAATAAGTGTATTAATAAGTGTATAAAGTGGTGAGGAATACATAGATGTATTTGGACAATGGGATTTTATCTTTTTTTTTTTAATGGTGCAGGCTTCTTTATCCTTATACTTCATATACTCTTAAATTGCTGACATGAGTTTTGAGATTATCTTCTTTAATGTTTTTGTGTTTAAGGGAATGTATGAAGTAGGAATAAGAACTTTTCTGTCAATAAGTAGTAAGATTTTAAAAGTTAATACTGTATTCTCTCCAGATTCTTCTTAGTAGATCTTATTTTTTATCTTTTCTTCATTTTGGTTACCCTAAATTATTTCTTTCCTTCTTAAAATGCACATTCCAAACCTACCACCCTAAGATTCCAATCAGTCCAGAGGATTAGATGAAATGTGTGCTGTAGATTCTGATGGAAATCCTTACTTGCTTTTGAACCTCTCAAATTTAATGATTTTTTTTTAAAGATAAGTAATAAATGTGTCTATGTTGGGGAAAATTTTTTTTTTAATTTAGTACTGTAAACATTTTGTGATCATGCAATGTGGAATTAACCTTTAGAAAAAGCATGAATTTTTGACTAATGGTGAAAAAATTCCTCATTGAAATAACCAATGAATTTTATTGTTTATGTAGACCTTTAATATTGATGTACGGCAACTACATTGGGCAGAGTATATAGAGAACTACTGCATGGGAACTAAAAAATATGTATTGAATGAAGAAATGTCTGGCCTCCCTGCAGCTAGAAAACATCTGAACAAGTAAGTAGTTGTACCTGAGTTTGATTTCATCTTGGCTTCCTTATGAAGTATTACATAAGGGTTTTTTTTTGTTTTTGTTTTTTTTTGGGTAAGTCGGTATAGTAAATGAAAGATATTGCTAATGAACTACTTACTGTATTTAGGAAAAGCACTTACCTTCAGACTGGAACTTTGATAATATTGATTTGGCTTAAGATAATTGAAATTTAACTATCTTCAGCAGTTTATACTATTCCTTAGCACTAAGTTCACATGGAATTGGATTTTTAAAATCACTGTTATCTTCCCTTATATTGCTACTGAAGAATTATAAAGATATTAGAAAAAAATAAAAATACATTTTAAACTGGAGGTAATTTATTTATTTGAAATTTTTTTTACCCTACTCAAATATTGGAAGGGGAAAAGAAATACAATACTACATCATTCAGCATAGAATTTTTTGTTTATAAAATAGTTACAATTATTTCCTTAGTCTCTTCATAAAAGTAACATGTATCGATTGTTTAAAAAATCAGAAAATAGAATAGGAAAAATCACTGTTAATTAATCATTCAGAGGTGCAGTTAACTTTAATAATAATCTCTTTTATTTGTGGTGTTTTTAAATATAATTTTCATAACAGTTCAGAAGACTTTTACAGTATTCTTGTGCCTCCAACTTTTTGAGGCTTTAGAGGGCAACTAGTTGTATAGATAAGGAAATAGGCTTAGGGAAGTTGTATTTGCCAACATCATATTGTATTAAGTGGCAAAGCAAACTAGAATACTGATCTTTTTTTTTAAATAAGTTTTTTTAATTGAAATATCATTGATACACAATCTTACATTGGTTTCAAGTATACAACACAGTGGTTCAACAGTTACCCGTATTTTCTTTTTTTTTAAATTAATTAATTAATTTTGTTGTCATTAATCTACAATTACATGAAGAATGTTATGTTTACTAGGGTCCCCCCTTCACCTAATCCCCCCCCCACAAACCCCATTACAGTACTGTCCATCAGCGTAGTAAGATGCTGTAGAATCACTACTTGTCTTCTCTGTGTTGCACGGCCCTCCCCAT